ATGTCTGTAACATGTTTATGCTCATTTATTTCTTAAAATGATTGTGAGGTGTATTATCCAACAGTTTACAGATTGGAATTTAGCTTTGTTAAGTGACTTACTCAAAATCACTGAGCTTTGTTGAAACTGAGACCAAATTCCAATTTTTAAAAAATATTTGCAATGTTTTTTTATTGCAGAAAATTTCCAGCATATATAAGCAGAGATAGAATAGTAAAATGAGCAGTCATAGACCTAATACTTGTCACTCAGCTTTAACAAATTATTAACATTTTGCCATTCTTCAGACTCAGATTTTCTGATCTGATTGTCCAACACGCTTTCTACTTTGCAAGGAATACTTAATCCTTTATCATGTTAAATGAAAAGGATGAGTGACTCTGGGACTTTCCTTCTTCTAAAATTCTTATTGATGGATTGTAAGATACACATTTTTTTTTCTTCAAATTTTAACAACTCTGAAATGTGCATCTTAAAATCTGTGGTAGAAAAACAGTCTTAATTGATAGCATTTTTCTTATGATACAGAACATAAAGATGAAGTTTAAAATTGATGGTATTGTGGATTACGTGAAAAACAGTTAAGACAAGCTCTCTACCTTTTGCCAGCCTAATAGACAAGAGATTGTCATATGTAAAGATAAGATTAAGTAGTTGTGAACTTCTTGCAGAATTTAAGCAGAGTTTTGAGGACTAGCTAAAGGACTTTGTGAGACTCCAGCGTTGTCACAGAGTGGTATCCTTAAGAACTTGAAAAACATACATCGTGTGATTTCCTCATGACCCTTACTATTACTAAAAAGCGCTGTTTATTAACAGTTCACCTTGTGTACAAATGATTTGTAATTACACAGCTATGACTTCTTTAGCAACCAATCCCTATAGAACAAATGCTTTTCTGGGACACAGTCTAATAGTTGACAACTCTTCATGTTGAAGATGTCAGTTTCTTTTCTTTTTATATTAAATAAAGAATGAAAATTATAACTGTTGATTTTATAATGCTTTTTCTTTGTTGTACAACTGAAGGTTGCCCTTAGTTTCCATGACCTTATTCTTGTGATCTGTCACTTCCAGCAGAATATGACTTACCAATACTCTACGTTATTTAGCAAAAGAGTAACACAGAAGCCTGGTGCAATGGCCTGCGCCTCTAGTCCCAGCTACTCAGGAGACTGAGGGAGGAGGATTGCTTGAGCCTAGAAGTTAGAGTCCAGCTTGGGTAAAGACCCCATCTCTTAAAAAAAATAAATATAAAAGAATATACAGAAATGTATTCCCTGGCTTTTTTCATTATGAAGAGGTTAGACTTTATATCAAGCACTTGGAGATGGAGAGTATGATTTCTAAAACTTGTATTCATAGTTGACATTTAGTATGGACTTTCTTTGATACTGAATGAAATTTAGTTTCACAAAAATGCTCCTGTAACATTTTACCTTTGTTAGTCCGTCATAACTAATTCTTAAGCTAATAAATTGATCAGAGTGGGTAAGATGAACAGAATCAAAATAATTAGATTTTAGGCTAATTATTTTTATAAGAAATATGAATATTTCTTATAGCTTAGGCAGTTACTGTACTTCAAAGACTTGGATTATTTTCATATTCATCTAGAATATTTTCTTATTCTAGTCCCACTCTTTTCCTCCTTTTGACAGACTTGGTTTCTCCCTGTTCTATTCACTGTGCAGACAGTAAGCAAC